CCAGTCCTAATTTTGTTTTCCCCCTGTGAGGTATATAATAGGCCTAGGAGGTGACTGTATGTGTGAATGAATGATACCAAGGAAATAAAATTGGACATAATAGGGTGAAAACAAGATCCAGGGGAATTTGATGGAATACTTAACTGAAAATGTCCTTGTGAGGTTTCTAGGGTTATGGGATATATTTTCTTTTTTCAGTGGAAGTTACAAAACTCAGTTGTCTTCTCCTTGAACTACAAAAATTGCTAGGTGTGTAAGAGAAGGTTTTCAGTATTTCAGCTCTTGGAAAAAAAGGCAAGATTTTGTTCAGATGTTCAGAACTGCTTTAGGTAAACTGTGATTTATTTATTTTATATAAATTTTTTACTGTTGTTTCTATGGATTAGACTCTGCTCCAACAAAGTGGTGCCGTCCAAGTAGGTCACAGCAGTTCTGGGAGTCATGAATAAGACCTGCCTGCCTCTGTGGCAGTCAACATCGCCCTGTTCAGGAGTTAGGTGTATGCCACAATTGGTTTCTTACATCTGCATGGGTGATGGTGATTTGTTTGAGTAGTGTTGTAGATCTAGGTCATGCACTCCTTGATCCCAGAAAGCTGCTTCTCTGTTTTTCTAGTATACAGGATGTAAGGGAGTTGAGGGGATAGGGGAGAATGAAAGGTAATGGAAAGGAGGGTAAAGGGAGGTTTCTGGGTTTCAGTGGGCAAGGACTGGGATCCTGTTGGAGGACTGAGCATGTAACTGAGCAGGAGACACCAGTGGTCCTAAATCGGGCTCTGTAAATTAGATTGGTTTGAGATTTATATGTAGGATTCTGGTCAAGGGGTTGGATCATTTCTGAATGCTCAAGTTACGGTGCTAGGTTGTGAACACAGGTATGCATGCATCTACAGTTAACCTTGAACATTGTGTTACTTCTGGAAAAACAGTGGGTTTTTTTGTGGGAGAGGACAAGTTGGTTATGCAAGTCAGATGGATTGGGTCTAGATTCTCAGGCTTTCTATGGTAGAGCCTGTAGTTTGCTGCCTCTAGGGAGTGGAGTCCTCAGTGCAGTATTTGTAGAAGTAAAGAGGAAGTATGCCACTCTGCATCAGTGATTAAGGCAGTGCCAGGGAAGGGCTGGACCTACCTGTTTGTGCACTGTGCATTTTAAGAGACACTCTGCCCTGTTTTTTTTAATCCAGCTCTGGTGATCTAAAATGCTTTTCTGCTTTGGCAGGTGCTGCTGATCCTTTGAGGAATTCAGGTGACTATAGTACCCTTTTGAAAGGATGGAGGTGTGTGTATAAGCATCTTTAGCCTGAGAAGGGAATAAGTAGCCTGTTTCCCCTACCTGGATTATTTAGTCACTGGTGTGTTGCATCTCTAAGATGGGTCAGTTTTGCAGAACTCTGTCTTGTCAGCAGGTATTGGGTGTCTTTTGAACAGGACTACTAAACTGAGCTTCTGAAAGAAGATAGAGCATTACCCGCTTTTAAGGTTGGGTTAGCCTGGAAGAAAGACCTGAGAGAGGATATTACATGTCTCAGGAACTTGATTGCCTGAAGGGTTTCTTGTAAATTGGTCTCTGGATTCAGATGGCTAAATGCTGCCCGTTTTAGGCATGTAGGCAAATAAATGCATGGCTGCTTCTCTTATTTTGAGATATTTTGTATCTAGGTAGAAGTTAACCTCTCCTGTAAACCAAATGTGACATCCAAACTTTCAGTAACTGGTGAAAGCTTTCACTATATTGATCCAATACATCTTTCCCAGGGCAGAATAATAACTGCATGATGTAGCTTTTAAGAACAATTGAATATGAGATGAGATAATTCTCTCACATGCAGAGTATTTGGAACAAAAAATGTAGTGCGTTGCACCCAGCTCTAAAGATTTTGTATGCTGTGAACATCAATTCTAAAAAATAAAACATTTGCATTTGGACAGTTTGACTCTCTTGAGTGGACATCTGGTTTTGAACAACACTGGTGTTTTAGAGAACAAACTAAAATTAAGAATTAGGCAGTTATGTTGTATTTTTACCTTTTTTATTTCAACTACTTGTATTACCATGTTTGAGGCAGACTTCTCTGTTGCTGTGCTTATTTACTAATCTAACTGTTGGATGCTGCTCTGCAAGTTCAGATGTGCCTGCTTATTGTCAGGTCCCTCTGGCAGTCTGCTAACCAGCCATGTTATAATCAGTGGAAATTTAAGAATTGTCAGAGCTTGCTTGAATAAACATGACTTGCTGGTTGACTTAATTAGTCAGCCAGTTAATATCCTTACTAAGAAAATTAATTGTCAGTCCCCTTTTTCTTGCATTAATTGCAGAGACTTTTTTTTTGCAAAGGTGGTAGAGAGTTTTCACCTTTCTAAGGATTGCAGGAGTAGTAGAGTTAATAATGAATTGACCATTTTAGCTTCTGTTGTTTAATGTGGGATGGGCAGGTTTGGACAAATACCTGAAAATATTTTCAAGGGAAATTATATGTAATCAAACTATGTAGAGCTTCATAGATAAATGAGAAAAAAGCCTCTGATACCTGCTAATTTTTTCTCCAAAGGTTCAACTGAGTTGTATTCCCAGGTCTGTAGAAAGCAGTATCACAATATTGCAGCTAGTGATGGACACGTTTGGACTTCTGCAGTGTTCATGGAACTGGGCTATGACTGGGGAAATTCCATGTGTGGGAAGAAGAGTGGAAGGAAGACGTGACTAGAATTGCATGTTTTAAGGGAGATTTAGAGCCATAGATATAGTGTAGTGAGTTATAGCACAACATTTTTGTAGCAAATGGTTTCTTAGAATTGGCTGAAGATAACAAAAAGTGAAGCTGACAACATTAGATAAAAGACTCCTCATGTTATAATTTGCTTAAATGTTCCAATTTTAAGCAATTCAATTGTAAATATTTGCCTTCTAATTTTAAGCACTGCAAGTATCTTCACTGTTGCTGTCAGTTCACCTGGGAATGAAACAGTAATATTTTAGACTCTTGTGGCAGGTGTTCTATTGTGAGTGTAATTTTGTTTGGTTTACTCCAACCTTAATTTTTTTCCATGTCAGGCTGAAAGAGAAAGTGATTATATTTTTCCTGGGACTTGCATTTTTTTCTGAGGCCTTGCATGTTCTACCATCATTATACTACTCATGTTTCTGTCTTCCCGGGAAGAGAAGGCAGAAAGTATTTGGATTTTTTCCACAGAAATTTGACTGAAGTGCAGATTGCTAGGAAATGTTTTCAGAATTGCCATGCTAGCAATTGTAGACCAAATTCTTGTAGGATGTTATGTGTCTGAACCTCTTAAGACTAGCTTCTACTAGAAACTGTAGTTTACATAGGTAACTTTCCTTCTATTTGCTTCTTCATTAAAGCTTTTAAGGGATCATGTGATTTCTGCGAGTGGAGCCCCAAGAAAAATATTTAATTTTTTTCCTTGCTTAGAAGCAAGGAAAAATCATATTTTTAATGATTTATGTTAGGTAGGCAGCAACAGAGTTAGCTTCCTCTGTCAGTCCTAGCAAAATGACAGCTTCAACAGTGATGCTAGTTTAAAAAACAAAGAAAAACCAACCTGCTTGGACTCTTTGACAGTTGGTACATGTGTGCAGTTGTATCTTTTATGCAGTCCACGTATTGCAACTACCAACCTTACTAGTGGCTATACCACTCGAAGCTGCATAAAATAACCGCTAATAAATTATGTCTTTGCATATAAATATTATATGCAGGGTAGTGAAGAGATCGGTTTAACAGCCAGGAAAGAAAAAAGCTTTCTTATTTTTCTGAAGTTCAGAAAACCGTTTGGTAATGGTTGCAGACTTTATTTTCCTGGACTTTAATGTCTCCTCTTCAGTTTGGTGAGTTTCAAGAACAGAAAAGCTACTATGTTAATTCCATATCTAGTAAAGACTAGAAGTGACTTAGAGGGACATGAAAAAGCCACTGAACATCTGAAATACTGAACTTCTAATTGCATTTGTACAAGCAACAGCCTTTGGACATGAATACTTGTGTTAGATTATTAATAGCTGATCCTACTGCTGTATTAAAATCTATCTTCATTACAACATCAGCAGCTTTTCCCCACTGTTTTTCAAGTTTCCTTGTGCTACTCATCCCATGTTTTCTTGGTAAAAGCATTAAGATCCATTAATATGGAATACTGGTATAATAGGAGCCATATGTGGGCAATTGCTTTGTATGGCCATGCCTAAACATACCACCTAGTGTAAAGAATAAAGCCTTCTCCCTGGGACTTGGGACTTTTCTTTTAGAAGGTGTGATTTGATTAATTGTACTTTTCCTGTCACAGATAAGCTAGCTAGGGCTGGCTGAATTGTGCTACATCACCTGAAGGCTTTTCCATTATAGTGCTTGCAAATGTTTTTTGCAAGCTGACATATGTGTTGTGTCAGAGCTATGTGCAGAAGTGTATCACATTCAAAAAAAAGTCATGTGACATCTGGACTTGATTTTTTTAAATAATAAAGTCTCTGTTATTTACTACACACATGTTAAGATGGGGGCAAGATAGGTGTTTTTCCATATTATTTAGTGTAGATGAAAATTCTGTTATGTGCTTTCGTAACACATGTGCCCAGATCACTTCAGGTTCTTAATAGGCGTATTGTGAGTGAAGCTCAAGACTTCGCAGAAATGGGAAATTTCTTGCTAAAAAAATTGTATCAGAGTGTTTGGGAAGAGGGAAATTATAAAGACATATTGTTGTCTTAACACAGTCTCTCTGTCTTTTTCCTTCCTCCGTAGTCTCTTGTAGCAATGGGTCAAGAAGCTGGCAAACTTGAATGGCCTGAACCAGCAGGAGGATATCAAACTATTATAGGTAGAAGATACGGAAGAAGACATGCCTATGTCGGTTTTAGACCATCTTTGAATAGCCAAGACAGAGATGAACATCAATACAATGAAGACTGCGAACGATTACAATTGGAGGATGGTCAGAAAGAGAATTCTTTATGTATGTGCATATCTTTGTGTATGTGTCATTTGAATGCAAACTGGGATGTGTGGGAGTGGAGGGGGAAGGCACACAGAAGGGAAGGGAAGAGAGTAGCCACTTAAATAACACGTGTAAAGTACATTTCATGTGGCTTTATAGAATGAAACTTAGCATGAAGGCAAATTAAAGTATAGTCTATCTTAGGCTGTTTAATTTTGCCTGAAGAAGTGCATTCCTGAATGAGTTAATGCATTCTAACCAACTAGATAGCTGTAACATTGTATAATTCAAATGATTTTGTCTTCAAATCAAATTACAAATCACATTTGGAAGAGAATACCTGTTCTAAAACCTTCTATTTGGAACTAGGTTGTGAAATATTTGACGTATCATGGACCAGGTTGTTCTGTCTTTCAACCTTAGTGTAGTTACAGTGGAAATTAGTTTAAGCCTATAAAATGTCTTTAAAGGGTCTTCTTTTATTTGTTTGTACCAGTCAGACCACTTCCCTTTCTTGTTTAATAAATATTGAACAGTAGTAATTCCCGAAATAAATCAGAAATTTGTCTTTGAGAAATGTTTTGGATTGATCTATTTCCCTTACCTCAACTAGGTTACATTTTTCCCCCATCAATACTTATTTTTTGATGGGTGGGTACTACCTAAAATACGCTGCATACTTCCGTGCTAATTAGCGTGACATCTTATATACATCTAAGCAATTGTGGAAGATGCATAGAAGGAGATATCCTTGGAAATATTAAAATCTGACTGCACTTGGTCCTTGGTAACCTACTATAGGTGAGACTGCTTGAGCAAGAGGGGTGGACGGGATGATATTCAGAGGGGCCTGCCTGCCAACCTCAGCTGTTAGCAATTTTGTGAAGGAGCTTCAAGATTTTAATTAGATAAAATGTAATGTTACAGTATTGCTTCCTGCAAGCCAGACTCCTAGTGCTGAGAGGCGCAGCTCTCTCAGCTGTGTTCTCAGTTCAGTGAACTCTCAGTTCAGTGCCATGACTTCACCAACCTAGGCATGGATTACCTATTTAGATGAGATTCTTTTTTCTTCTGTAAGTTTTTTAACCCCGGAACACTGATTTTTACATGGTTTCCTACTTCTACCTGTTTTTAAAATAACATGCTAGGGAATCCCTTCATTAACCATGCACGTCTCTCTCTCTTTGGTTTGTTGGGGTTTTTTTTTGTCTTGGAGTTAAGTTTCCAAATCTCTTAATATTGACTTAAAAACTTTAAGTACTCTCATCAAGTTATGCAAGCCATTGTATGTTCAAAAATAGTTTGGATTATTGCCTTGGTTAGGAGTTTACAAATGACTTGAACTAAACATTAATTTTGTGATAGCAGCAGTATACATGGTTTTAGATTCTTTAACTCTTGCTGCTGGGTTTGATATTTATTGTCCCTTTATGCAAGAGGTGTTCAAGTGTAGTATAACCAAACTGAATTTGCGATGATGGTAACTACTAACTGTAATTCCACATTCATCCCTGCTATTATTTTCTTCTTCTGGGGAGTTGCATTAACAGCTGCATGTACAAAATATAGTGCTATTAGTATGTAATTTATAATAGCAATAAATGGCTTTATCTGAGTGTGGCAGGAGGCACAATTTAGCCAGTTAATGAATGGATAGTCCAATTTTTAACTTATGGAAAGAAATGTTGCAGCTTTTTTAATCTTCCAGTGTTTTTTCAGATTTCCTGTTCTCATTTTAAAATCCCCTTTTATATAAACAATGTAAAAATACTGCTTATGAACATGTTCTTTTAATACTTGGTTTTTTACTGTCACAGGCTGAGCTCAAATTGTGTCATTTAAGTCTATGTCTATATGCTTAGCTTATATAAATGAGGACTTAAATATTTTAGTGAAGACTGCACCTCTGGTAAACGTTTCTCTTTATCAAATTGCACTGCAGTCCTAGTGAACTACCCTTTCTTTTTCATGAGCAGTTGTTGTAGATGAGAATATTTCTATTGTTTTTGATTATTCCAATGCATTCTTTCTTAAAACTTTCTGTGAAGGTTCCAATCCATTGGTTCAAGTTTCTTCTGGTTTATTGGATGAGCCTTTGTTAGAAAATATCGGAACTGGAGAACCCTTTTGCCGAAGTGTATTGAGCCGAACTTCTGAAGAAAACACACTACCATTTTCTCTATTCTCTTATGGTCTGGAAGGCAACAAAATCTCAGGGAACTTTATGAATCCTTATGAAAATTCTGAGGACCTTGCAGAATACGTGTCTGAAGGGCATAATGATTTGAATGGTCAGAATGGAATTGCTTTTGTAAACATTGACTCTTATGAGCCAGATGACAGTACTGAAGAGGAAGGTGATGCTCAAGATGAATTTTCTTTGGCAAGAGAAGAAGCAGGTATATTTCAGGAAACACTAGATAGCATGCTTTCTGAATTAGACAAAGGCGTAGAGTCTTTTACTGACTTGCAGTCCCAGTTGTCGGCTCTCAACCACAGTGTTTCTAGAGAATTTTGTGAAGAAGCAGGACCAATGCCTGTAATGAGATATCTTAGCATAGGTTCAGACTTGGCATGTCCAAACAACAGGACATTTAAATCTTCTGCTGAAGATCAAGCTATACTGAAAAGTAACCTGAGTGATGCCAATTGTGAAACAGAGCAGATAAGAAATATAGTGGATGTTGGAATCAGAACCCCTATAGCAATTGCTAATGAATTGAATGCCAATGATGGAAAGACTGACCAAGGAAATTCACCTGAGCTAGTAGTGAGACCTAAAATAAGAAAACAAAATACTGCAAACCAGTTGGAGAGAGAGAGGTTTCTTCCTAATGATGATGAAGAAAGTGGTTCCCAGAGGAGAATTGGAATTGCTGAAGTCCAGCAAGGCCGTGCTGAGTGTGCCTTGCGAAATAGTAAAGAAGAAATGAGTTCTAGTATGCTTTTTGATTCAATAGAGTACGAAGGTCACCAAAAGAACACAGAAACAGACCTAAGGAAAAATACAGCAGTGCAAAAACAAAAAAATGCGCCAGGTGATAGCACTTTTTGGGATGAGTTTGAAGACCGCAGCAGACACTTCTCAATGTCTCACAAAGATGAAGACAGGTAAAATTTCATTTTTATATCTGTATTAGTATTGAATCTTTTGTGTAAATAATGTGCAAATCTGAATAATTGTTAGCAAATGGGACACAAAAACTCAAGCAATTTCAGAATATGATCAGATAACAAGATGCCAACTTTTCCTTTCAGTTCTCCTTCACCCTTCCTCAAGTCCATCTAAAGAAATGGTAATGTACATTTTTCTGGTAATGTAAAAAGCCTTTCTTTATGTTTAGGGTCAAAGCGCCTTACCACTAAGGAAGATTGCTTGTTTATTTTTATTTTATTTTTACTGAGCAGATGGAGGGTAGAGAGGGAAAACCATGTTCAGCATGGTTTTTGGCAAATTATGGGTCTTTGAAAGTTCCCTTCAAGACTTGTTATTTTCAGAATTTGTTCCTTCTGCCATCAAATCTCAATACGCTGCATGACAGCCTGTGTATGTTCTTGTCTCCAGCCTTTTGAAAGAAATTATTCTTCCTTGTCATATCTGAAGAATAACTTAATAGGATTGCTTATAATCCCTTTTTTAATGAAAGTTCTTTATACTAGTAGGTGTTTCCAAAGTAACTATTAGTGAATACAGTTTCAGATCTACAAATGGCTCTGACCTGGACACCAGGAGCAGTATTCAGGCTCCTAGTGTTTTGGGCTTTCTACCCAGAAGACAGACTAATTTGGATAAACCTTATGTTGATTAACTTTTACTCATATAATGCTGGTTAAGAACTTTTCACTGAGAATTGGAGTTATGTAACTGAGCTATTTGAGGGTAAAAGAAATTTCTAGCCTGCTGTTCATTTATGGTAAATGCAGTAGTGTTTGTGATGGCTTTTGTTTGGTTTTTTTTATTCCCTATTTTTCTTCTACTTTGCTTTCATCTTGTTGAGTCTGTTCCCACTGCATTCTTTACAAGACGTCTTCTGGATGTTGATGTGGCCTTTGTTGTGTGTGCTTGCCATTAGGCTTCATAAGCTAACCTGCCTAGTAGATTGTGTTTCCACTGCTTTTGTGGACAGAAGAGCATGAAAATTAATCTGCATAAACCCTTGTCCTTAAAATATTGCAAAGTCCCAATTATGAGAGAACAAAATCCTTAAGATTACAAGGCACTGTAAAATGGGTCAGTAGACTTAATTTTGTTTTTTCTTATTAAATATATAGGTGGACTTGCAAATGAATCCTTTCCTTCCTCGTAAGGTTTACTTTTCGAAAATTTTTGTTACTGCATAATCTTTTCTCTTCCCCTTCTGAAATGTTGCTACTAGAAGATTAAAATGCAACGGAGGAAATGGATTCTATTTTACAATTATAGCATTGGCTTCCATGATGCAAAGTGATGGATTGTTGTAGCATGACAAAAAGAAATACAGATCGAATATCTGACAGTGACTATGTTTGTCATGATGGCAATAACTGAACCACTAAACAGGAAGCATGTGTTCTTTAACTTAAACCCATAATGTGTGTTCCAGACCCTCAAAAGACTTATCCTTATGAAGTAAATTGTCAATGATTACTCTGTACAAAGAAGTAATGTTTTACACTCTCAAAAGATAAAGTTTTATGTTTAAAGGGTTAATCCATATTACATGTTTAAATATACATATATAGCTGCATAAAAAGCAGAATTGATGTATGTGTCAAACTAAATCCTGCAACTCAGCTTTCACTTCTTTCCAACCCAGGGAGAAATTCACTTTGCTGATTGCTGCAGCCTGGGCCTTCACCTCACATTTTTGCCTCAAGGAAGTGCCCAGCTATTATGGTGTTAGCATGTAGAAGCTGTGTGAGAAGGAGAGTCTTGCATATTTGTTAGAACCACATATGCTCTAAGTTGGAAGGGTCATGGTAGGTCCTCAGAGGGCAGGGGTGGCGGGATGAGGATCATATCCTTTAGCACACTCCATTTAGTTTTGGATCATATGGCAAGTACAGGCCAGTTCAGCCAGGGGAGAGACTATTCTCAGAAAATCCATGTGCAGATGCTAGATGAATGTGTTACGCTTTTGGCAAGTGACAAGTCTATAACTCTCTAACCGTTAAGTGATGTTCTGCTTCTCTGCAGAATTGGGCACAGTTAAATACGAAGTTTTGAAATATACACATTCAATGTTCTTCCTTTGTTCAGTATTAATGACTTTAGGCATATCTTCTTTTCTGGTTTGAATTAGTGTTTGTGTATAAACTTTAAAGAGAACAAATTTGACTAACAACATAGGAATATTGTTATAAACTGTGTTGGAAATCACTCCTGTCTTGTAAAATAGAGAAAACTAAAATAAGAGACTTGAATGTTTGGGCTAGTTTTACATTATGCTTAATTAACCTTTTTAAAACAAACCTGAACAAAACAGAAGGTTCTAAAACGTTAATATTCAGCTTTAGTTGGTGTAATACAAGTGCATTAGACTGCATATCAGAATTTCTTAACAGATATGATTTCTGTTGTAAAGTAGTCCTTTAAAATAGCCCAAAGTTAATGAATATTCTCATTTCCATCACTTTCCCTAGTCCTCAAAATTGTGATAGAAAAATATATTCCTGCTTCAAATTAAAATGCTTCCATGTAATCTGTCTCGATCTTCTTTGTTGTAAAACTTGCAGTGTATAATGTGCAGTTTTTCAAAAGTAGTTGTAATTCATTAAATAGTAAGTTTTATTGGCATGTGCTTGTAATATTATATAGAAGGAGGGTTTCTTTAAGTTTGTAGGTGGGGAGATAACATTGATAGACATAGACATACTGGGTTTAGCAGATTGCAGACTGAGCTGCAGGTGTTGTGGATTGCTGTGTAAGATGTGCTCTGTTAAGCATGTTTGCTGTTCACATATTTATTAGTTTTTTTGTAACTTTTTGAAGTGACATAGCTAGTTGACTATAGTTTGAATTTTGGCAGGTGTCAACTGTCATTGTTAGTATTGAGTAAACCTTCTAAGCGGCATTATCAAAGGTAACAGTAGATAAGTTCATCCTTCTTGAGATTCTGCTAACATCACTATTTTGTTTAAGCTGCCCACAACTTATCTACTGCCCCTTTCTATGTGGTGGCTGAGCAAATTCTGTTTGAAAAACTCCCTGCCATTCATCTGTTCTAGCTAGTGAATGATATAAGCTGCAGCAAGTCATCCATTGTAACTTTCTATGATTAAAAAAAAAAAAGACCGTTGTGTATGGCTTAGAGGTTATGAGAGCTTTTACTTTTAAGTTTTGTTTGGCTGAGAGGTAAGGCCGACATTGCTTCTTGTTTGCTAGGCAAGCATTGGTGTTCTCAGTGTCACTGCTGCTGTTTTCTCTGTGTGCTAGGAGAAAGATGTGTATAGTGGGTCTGGGCTTATATTCCTGAGTTGTTTTATGTACTCTGCAAATGTGGAGGGGGAAGAACAAAAACCTTTTTGCAAAGTGGGATGGGCAGAATTCTTTCTTGGAATTGATTTTTTTTTTTTTTTAAATGAGCTCTTTATGTATACTTGCCTTATAATACATCTATAAACAGTACAAAATTAATTTGTCCTAGAAAAAATAGTCTATATTGCAGTCATAGAAAAGTAGGAAATCACAGAATGTTTGTGTTTGTTTTCTTTCCCCTAAAGCAGTGTTTAAATTCACACCCTGTTCCTTGTTTAAATTGCAGCTCAGAATGCAGTGATGGAGAATGGTCTACAACTGTGCCTACCTATTTTACTGCTACAGAAAAAGAACAGTCTTCAAGTGATGAGAGCTGGGAGACTGTCCCAGGCAGGGAGGAATGTGAGCCTGAAGTGCAAAGCAGCAGCAGTAGCATAGGAGAGGAGAACGCAGACTTCTGTTTCCAAGGAGGGTATGGCTTTATTTTATTAGCTAACTTCCTGTAAGTTCTGACATCAGCAGTAACATGGTATCCACATGACACTACACAGAATAACATCAATTCTAAAAGTAGTTACTATACTAGCAAGAATCATTTGCCTACATCAAAGTACTCTGAATAGTTGTATGTATTTCAAAACAGGGGGGAAAATGGCATGTCATGCAAAAATTCTGTTTTATGAAAGATACAGAAATAATGAGAGGGCATTGACATATAGTGTCAATAAGGATAATAGGCTGGATATACTGACCTTAAAAAGCCAGATTAGGCAAGTTGACACACTCGAGTACAAAGGGAGCTGGCAGAAGTGCTCACCAAGCCTCTTTCAATCATTTATCAGCAGTCCTGGCTAACTGGGGAGGTCCCAGTTGACTGGAGGATAGCAAATATGACACCCATCTACAAGAAGGGCCAGAAGGAGGACTACTAGTAGAAGGACTACTTCTACTACTAGTAGAAGGACTAAAAGGATGCTGTGGGGTTATGCAGGGAGAAAATTAGAAGGCCTAAAGCCCAACTAGAACTTAATCTGACTATTGCTGTAAAAGACAATTAAAAAATGTTTCTACAATTCATTAGCAACAAAAGGAGGGCTAAGGAGAATCCCCATCCTTTATTGGATGCGGGGGGGAAACATAGTGACAAAGGATGAGGAAAAGGCTGAGGTACTTAATGCCTTCTTTGCCTCAGTCTTTAATAGTAAGACCCGTTATTCTTTGGGTACCCAGCCCCCTGAGCTGGAAGACAGAGACAGGGAGCAGAATGAAGCCCCCATAATTCAAGGGGAAATGGTTAGCGACCTGGTACACCATTTAGACACACACAAGTCTATGGGGCTGGATGGGATCCACCCAAGGGTACTGCAGAAGCTGGTGGAAGTGCTCACCAAGCCTCTTTCAATCATTTATCAGCAGTCCTGGCTAACCGGGGAGGTCCCAGTTGGCTGGAGGTTAGCAGATGTGACGCCCATCAACATAAGGGCAGGAAGGAGGATCCAGGGAACTACAGGCCTGTCAGTCTGACCTCAGTGCTGGGGAAGGTTATGGAACAGATCATCTTGAGTGCCATCATGTGGCACGTACGGGACAACCCGGTGATCAGGCCCAGTCAGCATGGGTTTATGAAAGGCAGGTCCTGCTTGACTAACCTGATCTCCTTCTATGACAAGGTGACCCGCTTAGTGAACGAGAGAAAGTCTGTGGATGTGGTCTACCTGGACTTTAGTAAGGCCTTTGACACCGTTTCCCACAGCATTCTCCCGGAGAAACTGGCTGCTCCTGGCTTAGACTGGCATATTCTTCGCTGGGTAAAAAACTGGCTGG